CGCGAGCTTTCGCCCGCAGTGTTTTTGCATCATGCGTCCCCGTGCTTATAGATTTTTAAACATGGGTTTTTGGACGATCCCCACATCGAGTCCATACAGCCCCCTCACCCTAATACGTACCTTGTGTTATGTTAATGCATCAGCACTACACACGAATACTAAGATGTCGTATGGGTGCCATCTCAGTTTGGGGGAAGGTAAGAGCTCGGCCCAATCTCATCCTAAGCGCCACATCCGGGCCGAATCCCTCTCAGTATGATTCTCGCACAAAGGACATTTGCCGGCATGAGGGGGCTTGAAACAAAAAATGCGCATTCCCCGTTGTAGTCTCCAAAATGCCACTGGGTCGAAACCTTGCCAAGCAACAGCTGTCAAATCTATCCTAAGTTCCAAGACTTGTAAATCTTAAGCCTACCCTTGAATGCTACATCCTGAGCCCCGAGCCCTGAGACCGAAACCCTCAGGGGCACAAGTGGAGGCCACTAAGGTTCCATAGCTCCGGATTCATTATCGCCGAGGTTTTACCAAAGAGAAGAGGTCATGACCGGAACGCGAAATCCTAAACAATCCCTGCTGAGACCCTCCTCCTACACTCATTCAGGTGTAAGGAACAGTACTCACGGCTAGTGGCCATATATCCCCACTTGCAGCTGCTAGGAGAGTCTTGGTATATATTCACTTCTTCATTCCCTACAAAGGGCCCACTGAGATAAAGTACAGCTCAGGGCCATTCAACCCTCAACCCTAAACCCGATTAGGGTAAGGGGAGAAATGTTCCCACACCTGCTGCGCGCAGCCGCCGAAACCCCAAAGCCCCGAAACCCTGATTCCGACCAACTTTCCCGTGGTTCCCACCACGTAGGGTTCAGGGTTGAGGGGCTGAAGTAGCCGCCATTTTGGGCTATAGACACTAATCCTAAACCCTAAACCCTATAGCCCTATAACCCCAAACCCCAAAACCCGAAAACCCTAAACACCCTGCTGGCCCTGCACCACTGGGCTTCTAGCTCCGCCGCGACTCCGTGATCGGGGTCTGGGCTCCTTGCGGACGGCTGGTGCAAGGCACACTCACAGGGTTTGCGGCCAAGCGTTTTGAGTAGAGCGCTTGCTTTGGAGGACTTAGGGCTTAGAGCTTGTATCGATGGGTTAAGGATTTGGAGTTGAATTTCAGGTTCAGGGCTCAGAGTTGCGTGCTTAGGTTTAAGGGTCATGGTGAGTGACGGAAGAAGCCGAGCTGGTGAACATCTTAGGGGGACATGATGCTAGAATAGCTCCTGGAGTAGACTTGCAATGCCATGCAAGATCAAGCCCACAAACAGTAGCACTGAGGGCTTAATCTTTTCAATGGGTTCAAGATTGTTGGACATCACCATACCTACTCCTAAACCCTAGACCTCTAAACCCTAAAACCGTGTTACGGATGAGGTATGAAGGAACACTGACACCAGTGCTTGTAGCTTCAATTTCACGGGCTGAGCACGTCCTTCCGCCCCAAACGTAAGACTGTTCAGCTCCCTTCTAGCCTAAACAAATAAGGATGCAATTACGGTTCAGGGTTGAGTTGGGGGATTCTATGCATCCTCGAAAAAAGGCGCCGAGTCACTGCAGTGTTCATCCATCGGAGGGTGATGAACCACAGGCACGATATGCTGATGCAAAGCCGCATACTCTTCATGTGCAGTAGAAATTGTGGCGACCTTCACATACCGATCATGCTCATCCTCGAACGTAGATCGAAACTGATAGGTATCAGCGACACTCCACTCCTGGTCAGAGGCAGTGTAACAGATTCGCGCAGCATAGAAGAGGTCTGGACCCCCGCGCTCCAAAGTTGGATGCAGGCGAAAGACGAGCCGCGGTTCTTCCTGGGGTTCCTTACATTAAGGGTACCATGTTTGGAGACTACCAAGGAAGGATGCAAGTGCTTTAAAGAGCAGCTGGTGCACTTGATTCACAACTTTCAGGGAAGCCCATGCCCTAAAGTTTCGGGTTTAGGGACCCTTCTTAATGTTCCATGTTATTTTGGGAAAAGGGCATGATCTCCATCAGATCCCCAAAATACCCTGCAGGCACCGTTAGGGTCAAGGGAGCCCTCAAGCACCGTGGCCATAGGGATATGTAGAGATATCTAAGAATAGTGGAGAAAGGGTTCAGGGTTTGGGGAGAAGCAAATGGAAAAGAACGTGGAACATGAAATGGAAACTGGGCTAATAGGGATTTAGAGTCTAGGGTATACTTGGAGGGTCACGGAGACTTAGTAGCTGGGTTCAGACTGGGGGTAACTGGGGTTATCATATTATGGCCTATAGGGATTGTTACTATGCGTACCAAGTTCCCCTGACCCTCCAAGTAGGGATAGATAGAGAGTACAAAAGGGGTTTAGGGTCCCCTAAACGCTAAACCCTGAACCATAAGGATATTCTGGTACAGGGACAGGTTTGTCAGGTGAGAGCGGCCTCGTGATCTGTGTCTACTAGCCTAAAACCCCATATGAATCCCTGAGTTTAGGGTCTAGGGCTGGGTCTATGGCTTAGGGTAACTCCAAACTTTTTGTTGAGACTCTAGACTTCATCCCAAATCCTCTACCGACCTCATACACACCTAAACGACTGCCGTGGATGCCAGAGGGCTCATATCTTGCCAGGCCCTAGGCTCCTGGAGTTTAGGGTTTAGGGTTTCTGTTTTTTCTGTTTCCACGATGTCCGAAGATTGTTGCGTGATGAATTCACCGGTTTAGGGTTTAAGGTTTATTTTTTAGGGTTTAGGGGCTTAGGGGCTTAGGGATTAAGGGTTTGGGGGTTTAGGGCCTTACGGTTTAAGGGTTTAGGCGTTTAGGGTTGAGCCCATAATGTTCCTTGGACTGGGGGGGTGTCTGCTTTTTGCCCCATATGTTGTAAATGTGTTTTGGGCGGGCCCACTTCTAGTAGAGCAGTCGCTACTAAGACCCTCCTAGTAACCTTAGTTGGGGACATGTTAGCTACTGTCTAAACTCGTGGTATCTCCTTAAAATATTCCCCAGTAGTCCCCTATATAACCCCTGAAAAAATAACATTCTTTAGAGGAGTTTAGGCTATGGCTCATATAGCCCCTGTCAGTGGGTTCCTAATAGAAGCTAGGAGGAAGGTCTTGGTAGAGAGTAGCTGGGTATATCGGCGGGCATATCCTTATATGGTAATTTCCCAAAATTTGGGTACCCCAATATAGACCCCAATATACTATGGCCCTTATTATAGGGACCCCCAAAATGGTGCCCCTAACTTTAGGAAACCCCCATATATAGGCTCTAAACCCACCCCAAAGCTGGCCTCGAACATGGTATAGGCCCCTGGTCTAAACCTCCGGAACCCTAGGGATATGGGTTTTGGGAATTTAGGGACGTAGGGCTTAGGGATTTCAACGCCAAACCCTAAATCTTTAACCCTAAACCCTAAACCCTAAATCCTAAATCCTTACAGGCGCACCTCGCGGTTGCGGCGTGGTCCTGGGCCTGTGATGCTGGCGGGGTTAAGGTGTCGAGTGCTAGGGAACTGTGCATGAAGGCGTCATCTTACGCAAGGATCAAAACCCTAGGTAGGCCTGCTACAAAACACAGGTGTCATCTATAATCTATCATGCTAGCGATGGGGGATATAGGTCATAACCCGGCTGTAACTTGCATGTTCTGCCGTCTAGTCCAAACCGAAGAGCGCCAGGGAACGGCTGTGACATCCGAATCTCTAAGCATTCGCCCTTGCAAGGGGTTGCGGGTAGGGTCTTGCGATCTCTCGAAGCCGGTATCCCATTCCGCGCCCGAAGTCCTCACGAGTGACAGTCTTGCACATTCCCTGCAACAATTACTGTAGCGCGCTTGGTGCCCGCCTCAATAACCCGACCCTCGCACTCAAAAACCAAACTAAACCCCCAAACCATAGGCTCCAAACCCTAAACCCTGACCTCACAAATCTCCAAACCCTGAACCAAGCCCGTTCGCAACCCAAGAAATCCCCATAGCAAATCCTCCCTTAACCTCAATGCAACCCTTGGAACCCTAAATTCTGACAAAAAAAGCTTAGCATGTTTTGGAAGCCTTGAACCCTAAGCCCGCACACCTCAACCCCTGAACCCTTTAAACTCTAATCCTTTGGACCCCAGAAGTACGTAGAATAGCGGTCTTTTTGGCTACTTGTATGGGTTTGGGGACTTTGGGACCCCGAATCTTGCTTGGCCTTTGGAGCCCCTTGAAATGTTAGTATATGTAGGGTCGCTCTGAAATCACTGCAGGAAAACATTTGGATATTCCGAAGGCCAACCCCGTAGTCCCTAAGCCCTAAACAAGTAATCCTTAAACCGTATAAACTCCAAATCCAGCAATCCTTTAACCTCAAACCCTAATCCCAATAATCCCTAAACCCGAGCAATCCCTAAACTCGAGCAAGGCCCT